AAGTAGGGAACGTAAAAGGAAACTGATAAGACAAGGCTGCCCATTGTCTGATGTGGTCATAGTGGAAAGGACCAGGGGAAAAACAAAAGGGAAGGCAAGATGGAACCCCTTAGCGGAAGTCAGAAGCACCAAAAATGGCAGTGGGAAAACCAAAGTAGTACGTGCACCAAAAAGCAGGGCGACATTTTTCTTTCATTTGGCAATGTGACCCTTTGGCCTTTAAGTGTTGAATTGACAGTGCTCCGTGTCTTCCAGATCGCTATTAGTGGGTGGGTCCTCTAACCAGGAGGGTGCATAACCCATTCTAACTGGAGCTTTGACCCCCTTGAAGAAGCAGGTTCATAGCTTGGGGGTGCTTCTTGAGCCACCTTTGCTGGCTGCTCAGCTTCATTCCTATAACTCTGGCCTAGGTCTGCTGTAAACTCAGCTCTTGGCTGTACCCTCCATACAGCAGTTGCTGACTCAGATCCCTGAATGCTGCTCCAGACAAAGCATTCACTGCACCAAAAAACCCTGGAATATCAGCACAGAATTGCTACCTAGCCTGTCTTCCTAATGTGCCAGATTTCTATTTGTGTGCTTCTTTTCTGTCTTTTATTTTTCTATGAAACACCAATTTGCCAGCTAAATGATGAAGATCTCGCATGTGGGTATCCGTCTCCTCACTCTTGTAAATTGCAAAAGTAGGTCTCCTGAGCAAATACTGGACAATATATAAACAAACCCTTCTTCCCATCAAAGCTCATACAGCAACAGGCTAGGTAAGATCAAGGAACATACTGATTCCTACACACAGGGAAAAACCCTTTTGCCATGGAGTCTTGGAGGTCTACTAGCTAGTCTTTTACAGTCTGGTATGTGAACAAGTGGGAAGTACATTGTACTGGTATTGTGCTGAATTTGACCATCTTACCAAGAAGTCAGGAGATAAGGACTATTAATAGTGGAATTAATAGTCATTCCACTGGAAGATACAGTGGTGATGTGAAATCTTATCAATTAATGTAACACACATATTTTATTAGTTATACTCAGTGCTTTTTGTCATAGAACGCACTGGAATGGAGTTCTGGCACCTTTTTTCGACAGATTTTCCAAGTTTTAAAAGTAACTTTTGAAAATTTGATGTTTGGTGCACGCGGATTCGAATTGCCCTGTTGAGCATAGCAGGTTGGCGGCAAAATCATTAAAATGGTGCATGCGGGCTGCTTGTGTGTCGAATCCGATGCATGCGTACTTTGTCCGTGCTGCTTGTGATGGTGCTGCTCAGCTTGTGGCGTGGCTCGGATTGTGACTGGCTGTGTGGTTACATGCTGAGTGCTTACTATGGGCAGTGACCGTTATGTTTCGTTACACAACTGATGTGTGTGGGTGTGTGTACAGTGATTTACTATGTGCGAAAGGTAAATACTTTTATGAGTTCCGGCACCTTTTTTCCTATAAAAGCACTGGTTATACTAATCATTTTGAGAGTCTTTTTTTTTAGTGAAAAGGCAACTAATAAAACAACCAGAAAATATCACAGCAGCTCATGGACCTAACAGGACAATAAAGGCAAGACAGTGGTTCATGAAAAAAGATCCCACATGGGTGTCACTTCACAGGACGGAACTCTTCACAGGAGAGAAGCAAGGTATGGTGGACATGCAGCCAACTCCGCAGGGATCTTTCCACAAGACCTGGTTGCATACACCTTGTGCGTGGGAAACAAGCCATGGCGGGGAAAATTGTCATCTGAATCCTCATTCCTCAAAGCATCCTCAACAATGCTTTTAACCTACAACTCTATCTTAAGCAGTTCTAAATGAGTTCTGGATGTCAATTTGCTTCTTGAATTTTTTAAAGGATCCAGCAATGAGAAGCATTATTCACATATTTATGGTTTGCATGCTGAGCCAAGTTTACAAAATGAGCATTGGCCTACTACTAGCATTATTGGGAGCTTACCTGAGATAAAGGGCAGCCAATATTTTCAGTCCCAGAGGGATCGGTGGGATCATGCATTTGCAGTTGTGTTGGAAAGAGTCTATGCGCCTTTCTTATGAGAGAGCAGCACTCCAGGGAAAAGGCAAAGGGGTCAACAAATGTGATTGTAGTGAGGCAGCAGCCTCCCGGAGAACTACAATTAATGATAAGTAACTTCGCTCTGTCAGGATGTTCTCTGGGCATTTCCACTATGAGGGAAGAGCCTGGCTGAGGGTGGGTGTCAAACCCAGCAAAATGACTGTGTAGCTCTGATTACAGACCAGCCCTCACAAAGAAGCCTGAGATCTTGTAAAAGATACAAATATAAGGCTGTGTGCAAATGGCTAAAGCAAACCTTGCAGTATTCTCTACTCCCCTTTTACAGTAAAAACTATTGCCAAGAAACAGGACCTTTTTCTGAAAACAAACAAACAAACACAGACCTCATGTAGTTTCTGATATCCCCCCAAGGGAAATGGATGTTAAGACAACTGATTAGTGGCCCCAAAATGACAAACACAATTTCAATTACATTGAGGTTTTTCCAAAAGAGTCGGCCTAATTTTTATATTGGGAGAATTCAAATGCAAAGTGCATTCATCTCAATACCTGCTCCAGGTGATGATGGTGATTCGGAAGAGGAAGAAGAATAGGAAGCATAAGGGCATATAAACTATTAGGGCTGATAACACATGGACCGTTTTCCAGCTGAAAGGTCTTCATATGCGGTTATTCTCAGGCCAGGGGGCCAAACAATACTGATGGTGAGAAGGCTGCCTCCCTTCCACCCAAGACTGCTGTCAGCGCCCCACAGTAGCCCTGTTCAGGCAATCACCTGAATGCACCAGAGTAGAAAATGTATAGAGGAACAGGACTGCGCATGCCATGCCTATCTTCGGCATTGCGGTGCATCTCAGGCCTCACCCCATCACTCCTGATTCTTGCTATGCTGACTGAGCACGAGTACAACCCCTCTTCCGATCTCCCTGCCCAACATGAAGATGGTGGGGACTGAGGGCTGGCAGGCACAAGGGTGGTTGGAATGGAGCCCACCTGCACTGGCCCAACCGTTTACACATTTTTAGTGAATACCTGCACAAGTTATTGTCCTCTATGAATAAAACAGGAGGGGGAACTGGATTTAAACTCATCCTCTACAGATGTCTGTATTAAAAATTAAGAATGTGGACTGAAAAAGTGTACACATCAAAGAGCTTTCAGTCTTCACAGATTCTATGCAGAGGAGTATTGTGGAATATCATGGAAACCTTTAGGAATTTTTCCAAGGCCACCAGATTTTTGGAATCATTTTGGCAATTACTATAATATCTAGGAACTGAGAAAAGAAAAATGAGTAACTTTTCTGAGATATTGGTAAGCGTACAAAGCCTTCTTGTGTAATTACCTTCTCCATATCAGAGTTTCTAGAGATATCATTGGTACAAATGGTGGATTGTTATACTGCTAGGTACATTCACATTCAAGTTTATAAGAGAAAAAGAGGGGGCGGAAAAAAGCAGTGGCGGAGACAAGACAGCACTCTACAAATACATCAGTGGGGTAACTCAACAGATGATAGCCAGAGGAAGCATTGGTTCAAGAGCTAATGGCTACATTCCAGTCATAAATTTAGGTTGGAAGCCAGTAAAAATAAAAATAAATCTCAGGAAGTATGAAATTATAGAATGGTCTGCCTGTAACAGTTCTGAGAGAAAAGATTCTCAATGGGTTCAAGGCAGAGTTCCTTAGTTTATGGAGCTTATTTTTGGGCTTTTCTATTCAGAGGAATCAGATGTGGTGTTCTGGCTTCAGAAGAGAGCTTTCTTTTCTCTCACATGTAATTTTAGTCACTCTAGGACAATGAGAATGGCTACAATCCCAGATATTATGCTGGGTGATGCAGAGTTGTACCTAATATAATATACTTTTCAGATGACATACCCAAGGACTGGATAAAAACTACGCTGGGGTGGGAAAGAATCTTCTCACAGGGAAAAAGGCAGTGCAGCTGCAGGGAAGTGAAAGAGAATGGGGCTGTCTGCCCTTCTAATAAGGGGTTTGCTCCTGTTGCTTGAATAGTTGGAAAACTATGTGCCGGCAGGAACCTTTCAGCAGCCCACCCCATGTGACTGTTTGATTGATCCAAGTTGCAACTTCAATAAATGCTCTCGAAACACACTGGTTTTCCACAATTTTATCTTAAATACATCTCTGAACCTTGCTGTGCATCCAGATGCCACCATCCCCAATGGAGTAGCTCGTTCTTCATCTCACGGAAACCTGTGATTCCCAGTGTGTGGGGATGCAAACCTGCCTTTGGTTAGCAAAAATACCCTGTGGTCCTTGACGAGCAATCTAATGTCATGCACACATATGCGAACATATGCAGAAGGCCATCGATGTCAATTTTTAAAAGAATTCAAGGTTTGCAGGAACTTAGTTCCCATGATTGGTAGCAAAAAGTCCTATTCTCATATTCCCCCACTGACAGTTCTTAACTTTGGTTGCTTTTTGCTCTGTTCAAACTATTCCACCTAGACTATCAATCAAGCCATGCAGTCAGTTTAGTTGCAATAGGAAACATGATTCCCCTCTATGAGAACGTGTTATGACACGCACTGAAGCTTGTGTGCCCACCTCCCTGCTGTTCCCTTTTGAACACCAGTGTTGGCGACTGAAAGCGGATGTTTTCCATTTTATACTAGGCACAATTTGCCACAAAAGCTAAGCTTGAGGAACTTACTTCAGTACCATGGCTACTGAAAAGAAAGCCTGCTTTCCTACCCATACTGTTAAAGATACCACAGTTCTTTGAATTCAGACATCCCTGGGCACTACAGTTAGTTAGGAATGGGAAACTTCTTTTCTCAGTCTCCTTTGGTGAAAGATCAGAACAAGGTACAGGAGGTGTGAAACCTCGGGTCTTGTTGAAGTTATTTCTCTAAGTGGTGGGACTAGCTGACATGGGCCATAATAGAGCAGAATAGAAGGACACAGTCTGCTTAACCTGGGAAAAGGAACAAGAAGCTACTCACAAGTATGCCTTGCCAAAGAATAGTTGGATCCACCACTTGTTGAGCCAAAGCCTTCTGGAATTTGGCTAGAACTCCGTGGTCTGGTCAGCAACTTTGGAGGTTCAATTTCTGCTCCAAACTCTGCCCCAATTACTCCAAGCAGAACGATAGCAGTAGCTTGCTTTCGCCTTTCTTCATAGGACATAGATATTTTTTTCATTTGTGGAAGCCCAGACAGGGAACCTACAATACGACACAAAGAACATCAGAATGCGGATTAAGAAGTGCTGCTATTTGCTTTTATGAGAAACTCACAGCCTTCACCCCCTTAAATTTGACAGTCCTTTCACTGTGTAAGGAGTTTAGATATGCCCCAGAGGAGTCCCTTTCCTGCAAGGGCTAACCTTGGTGGTGTGGCAAACATCGGGGTGCCACTCATTCCCACATTGCTCATGCCAGAGACCCAGAGGAAGGAGAGGAAGGAGAGGAATCTGCAGAGCATATTTTCTTGTGCTGGTGAAACTCATGAAACTCCACTGTTATGAGAGCAACCCACAGCATAAACTCCCTCTGTTTGCAAAAAAGCAATGCTGTAGGAAAACCCACACAGAGGAAGTATCAGTTTTCCAACAGAAGCTGAACTTTAAAACCCAAAAGCAACCGTTTCTAAGACTAGGTTATTATCAGACTGGAAGACGTCCTCTCCCTTTCCCTTAGGATTCACCCCCAAAGGCAGACTGGCCTTCGGGTCAGGGGCAAACAAGAGCTGGGCCACATGATCGCCTGCTTCCCTAATGTACTTATAGAAGGCTCCTGCAAGTTACTACAGCTGCAAGGCTGGTAAGGTGACTTCCCAGGCAGTGGAAACCAAGGTACAAAAGACCTCAAATGCTTGATGACCCTGTACCAGAACAAGAGAAGAATATCAATACATGTTTCAATATAAGCACACAGGCCCCAGGACTTGTGCTTCACAACAGTTGCAACAATTAAAGACGCTGCTTCTTAAAAGGAACTTATTTTGGCATCTGAACTGGACAGCTTAAAATTAACTTCTTTTTGACATCTGTATTTATACCTCTTCAATATGGCAGGAATCACGTTTCCATATATTCCAACCCACATTCCCCTTCCCTACTGCACAGTGCTATTAAATCTCTTCTGAGAGAAGTCAGAGGAGACCACTTGGTGCTCAGGAAGAATGACTAGGGCGGAAGATTAACGAAGTGTGAATTAATATAAAAGTCTGCTACTGTATGCCCAAGCTGTAGCACAAGACATCCTCCCACCCTTTTTAAAATTCTTTTTTTAAAGATGCGCCTAAGAACCTTGATTATCCAAACTGATTTTCAGTTCAGGTCTAACTCTGATAGTCTTACACCCAAAGGGCCATGTGGTCCAGGGTGATCCTTAACAATGAGAAGGAATGAGCTAAAAAGATAAAAATAAAAATCAATAGTCACTTTCTGCAGGGAAACGATGAACATGGCCTCCACGTTAAGCAACACGTAACCATTTTAATTGTCTGCCATTTGTATATACAATTGCTACTGCTGAAGGCGACACGCACTGCCACTGGAGTTTGCCTAAACAGATCCATTTTTAATTCACTCCACGCAGAACACAATGATCTGGAAGGAAACCACTGAGTTCCCCTCCCCCCTCCCCGAAGAAGCACGCTCCATAACAATAGTTCAAAGGAAAGCTCCATTCTGCAGTTGCACTGATTGTTCTGTCAGCTGACCTCCGCAGAAGGGAATTGCTAACCGCTGCCGCGCTCCTTAGCTGACAAATGAATGATCGCAGCTCCATCTATTTTCACTATGGCTGCCTCCTAGCACAGGTGCTCGGACAGAGAGCCCGGTGTGACATCTTAGATCAAGATGAATTGGCACAAACTCCTGATCCAAGATTGTTTTATACCATTTAATTTAGTTTCTTCCCCTGCTCGGATGAGCACAGCTCTGGTTATGGATTTCTATTCTAATGTACTGAAGCAGGCACTGAAAGAAGCCAATGAAGCAGATGCTGGAGCTGGGGACTGCAGGGATACTGATCAATAGGCAAGGCATTGACCCCAGCCACTCAGCCTCTGCAATGGTCACTGTTTAAAGAAAAGAAAGGGGGTGTCGAGCGTGTGTGTGTGTGTGGGGGGGGGGAAGCCTCACACATGTGCTGCTTCCAGCAGGAAATTAAACAACAGGGGTGCTTGGCAAACTCCCCCCTCTAACAACAGAAAGCCAAACTTTGGCTGCTCTTCTTTTTCTTTGATTTAAGCAACTTCCAGTTAACCCATTCTTTACTTGCATGCATTTATAGCCATTTACCTGCAGTTAGTTTTGCAAACTCATTGCGTTTCTTGACCTCAACAAGCGGGAAGGGAATGTATCAACGTGTACCTGCTTCCAAAGTCTAAAGTTTATGCTGATTCCATAGTTGGAGGCTTTCGGTTTTGCTTTAAAAAATGTTAAGATACATTTATTTTGCAAGTTACATCAAATGGAGGCCTGCAGATTCAGCTCTTTGAAGACAGTGACCCCTTGAAGAGTTTTCAACATTCCGCAAGTGAACTTAAAGCCACAAATGTTTGGAAAGGCCCGTGATCGTGGGTTTGGACAGAAAAGGGAGAGTGTCAGAAGGATTATTTAGCAACACGCTTTAAGTAAATAGATTATCTTCAAAAACCACACTAGACAACATTTTGCTATATATAAAAGGAAGATTTAGGCGTGAAACTGGGTGTTTGCCTTTACTGTCTTCTGAGTTAGTAGCAGAAACATGCAATTAATGGCAACTCTTCTCAACAAATAAACTGGCAGCCAAATGGGAGATTTTAAAATGAAATAATGTCTATAAAAGTTGTCCTCGCTACAAGTTTCATTTGTCTCGTGAAAATTTGGTATTTTCTCACAGTGATGTGCCTCCATTTAATCATGCTAAAGGGTGACACAAAGATCCATTTTCTTGACAGGACGGTTGATCACCCTATCACAGGGAGAAAATTAATAACCTCAAATAGCCCTATGTGGAAAACAGAAGCTACGCTGGGGAAGGGGGAAGGTTTCTCCATTTAAGTTGTAGAGATAGCACACTTTCTATGCGCTAAGTAAATAGAAGTGACAGATTTCTTTATTATTTGCTTGGTCTTAGCAAAGTGGGCATTTTGATTCCATATTTAAAATGATTTTGAAACAGGCCTGCTAGAGAAACAAAACTCCAACAGTTTTATTGGAACGGCCTACTCGTGTAGATGTGTGTTTTTTGTTCCTAATCTGTTTAAATAAAATATAGATTTAAAAAATCTGAAAAAGTTTAAGCTGTTTAAAAGGTTGCAAGCTATTGATTACTTCATTTAAAAAGCAGTCAGGGAGTGCAACCAAGAGGTCAGGATAAATTTAACAGTTTGAAGCACTTTACTAAATAACTCTAAAGATCATGTTAATTGGCTTTGCACAGTCCTAGTGTAAAATTAATTTTATCGTAGCTTACAATAAAAGGATTAAAAGAGATATTAAGTTCTACAGGTTTAACTGGAACAGGAATCAATGGATTTGAATTAAAGCTAAAGGCTATTTTATGGGAGATGGACTACCCCCAGATACTTTATATCTGCTATTAGGCACATGATAGTACTCTGTTATTGTATTAGGTATTAAAAAGTTGGAGATGTAAATGCCAGACCAATTTATTATTATAAAAATACCTCTGAGCAGGCGAGGGTTCTTTAACTTTGCAAAACTTACTTGCCAGGTGAAGACTTTCTCTGCCCCATCACGCAACTGCAACCCTGAAGAGGCAAAGTGAGCATAGCTACCCATGCTTTGATAACACCTCCTTTGGATCACTGCAATGTCTCAGATGCCGGTCTGCCTTTGAAAACTGCAGGAACATTATTAGCTAGGAGTGGGTATTTCCATCATATCTCAGCACTACTGAAAACACTGCACTGGATTCTGGGCACTACTTAAAATGTTTGTCTGGACCTTTAAAACCCTGGTTCTGCATTGATCAGTTTATTTGGGAGAAAAAGATCTTGTTCTGACACTCTTCTTGGATCCTTGGACATCTGAGGTGAGATGGCCAGTGATTCAAGATAGAGCTTTCTCACTGTTGGTGTCCCCCTAGAAAGGCCCACCAGGCACCAGCTTTGTTATTTTCATGATATGAAATCTTTATCTTCCCAGGACTCTTGGCAACTGTTTTTGTTTTTATTTGATTGGCCTTGATTACATGTGGCTTCAGCATCTAGCTCTGTTAACTATGATCTGCTGCTATAATGATTTATTATGTTCATTGCTTCTTTTGTTTTTGATTGTTGGCTCATCTGGAAATCTAATAGAGATGAATAATGGAGTATAACTGTATGGAGAAATACATATCTAAAGCCCTGATCACTGCAACTTTTTAAAACAGTAGTAATTTGTAAGAGAAAGAAACATATGAATGGGTAAAAACTTTGTTGAGTTTGTGTTTTAATACAGATTGACCTAATCAGCTTTTCCTGAACTAATATGAAAACCCAAACTTAATTATCCTTTGATTTTGCACTTTGACCAACAACGGTCACAAAAAAGCATAAACTGGACAAAAATTGCATAGAAAAAAGGCATTTGCAAAAATTGTATCTTTGAGAAATTGTGTACAAAAATGCTAGAAGTCCAATTCTCCATAGGGCAAACTTCATATCCCTCAAATATTTCTGAAAGCAGCAGCAAATAAGTTCAAACTGCTTTAGGGTTCCATTCTTCCTCCTATTTTCACTAAAATAGGAGAAAGAGGCAGATGGAAAGCAATTCTTGCCTCCCAAATAAATTTGCACAGGACGAAGTAACACACTGCTAAATTCCTTGAGTTTCAGTTTGCTGGCTGGCTAACCAAAATCTAAAAAGATTTTTACCTGAAGTAAAATAATTCTGAATTTTAAATAAAGGTCACAGGAGTAGGTATTTTCTTTGAAGAGACATTCTTTCCTTTATGGCTAAGAGATGGGAATGTCTCCTCTTATGTGGTGAGTGGAAGTACTTAATATTAAAAAAGATTAAAGGTGCAGTCACATACATGCTTTGACAAAAATACAGCTCCCAGTATCTGCAAGCCAGCTGTGGTGATTGACTGAGAACACTCTTGTAAATGCTCAAAAGCTTAATGAATCAATTATTTGAACAGATTAATCACTAAGCAGTACAGTTCTACTATACAGACTTCTAGATATAATTGACTGATTTTATGGATTTTTATTGAAT